GATTCATCCAAACTCACTATAAGTAACCTAGCTAAGAACTACTCCCTTATCTTCGTTTTCCCGAAGAAACCCCCCATCCACCCCTTCTCCTCCTTTCCTCTTTTGCAGAGGGGAGCTCTCGAGAAACACTCACATGCTCTATGGACCTGGCGAGCTCAGGGTTCTTTCCCGGGACAGCATGCCAAACCTGCTAACTTGCTAACAAGTTGTCAAAAAGTATCTAAGTGTGAACTCTTGAAAAAAACTTATACAATTACTATAATTGACAGTAAACTGTTTATCATGTTTCTATTTTAAAATATTTATTTTTCATCGATTAATCTTGAAATGTCATGGTTTCCACAACAATCATAACCAGTAAAAACTTAACTTCTGCATTTCTTATAATATAAATGGTTATTAATAATTGAGAGAGAATAACTGATGGTAACTGGTAACTATATAAATGCTTAAGATAGTAAAATTCAAAGGGGGGCTGATAATTCTGACTTCAACTGTATGTATACAGGCAATCTAGAGTCATGGTCATTAATCAGGTGGAGGGTCGAAAGGCAGGCAGTAGACAGGAATAAGCAGTAAAACGAACAAAACAAAGCGAGGGTCAAAACAGGCAAGACAAGGCAAGGCAAAGAAAACGCCTTGTTTGTAAAGTCCACAATACGACAAGATTTGGCATTGATGTGTGTGTGTGTGTGTGTGTGTGTGTGTGTGTGTGTGTGTGTGTGTGTGTGTGTGTGTGTGCGTGTGTGTGTGTGTGTGTGTGTGTGTGTGTATAAATAGTTCTTGTAATCAGTTCATGAGCAGCTCCCAGCTGTGAGTGTGTGTAATACCAAATGAGGAACAGGTGCGTGTGAGCGGTGCCTGGCTGGGATTTTTAGTCCATATGCTGGCGGATTTTGTAAACATTAGTATTGAACATGTCATGTTTTTTTCCTGCGAATAATATTTCTAAATAAGCTGTTGACATGATGTTTATTCATGTGTTCAATACTTTTTCCCTGCATCATTTCCTTTTATTATGCATAACTTCATTTGTAAACTAATTAAATTTGTTTTCTTTTCATATATGGGTTTCTTTGGTTGTTACTGTCAACGGCACCTTTAGAAATATGTATTCTGAGAAAAAAGTGACGTATTCATTACTTATTTTCCCTGCTGTATGTTATGAAATTTATATGATGCAAATGTCTTCATGAAACGTAGTTTTTAGTTGTTATTCAAATTATTTTTGGCATAAAAGGAAAATCGATCCTTTTTACTTATTCAATATGTTTTGGTCTATTAATAAAAACATATCTGTGCAACACAACACTGGTTTTGTTGTCCAGGGTCACATATAGCATTTTTTGTTTATCAAGTGCAAGCAATTAGTGCTCTTCGGTTGACCAGCGTCAGGAAAGCGTCTCCCGGTGGACATGCTAATTTAATGGGATAAACTGTAGTTTGTTTGTCTTTATCAGCTGTATGAGGATGCTCTGTCTGAGAATGAGAAGCTGAAGTCTCGACTGGAGGACAGCAAACAGGAGCTCACCAAAATCCGCTCGCAGCTGGACAGAGTCACACAGGTAAGAGGTGACCGTCCCAGTAGATGAAGTAAGAGATAGCCTGAATCATCACTATGCCAAGAGGAGAGACTTGGATTAATAACACTAGCATATGCTGAATCCAGCCTTTAAAATGCTCATATCATTTGTGAAAAGCCAATCATGTATCAAGTTAGTGGTCCAACAGGTGTTGCAGCTCTCTGGAGTACCTGATTCTGATTGGTCAATCCCAACATTCCAATGTCTGTTATTCCCTGGTGGTTGAACTGATTAAACCAATAATACAGGCTGTCAGGGTATATCTCAAACTTTTTTACAGACAGATATAGTTTGAAATTATGCTATTCAGTTTGTTCTTATGTTTCTAAGTATACATTTTATTCTGCATATACAAAGCTAGATGTATCCCTTTTTAAAATGTTTGGCTTTTTTTGTGTGTGTGTGTGCATGTTTTGTTATGACTATGCAATGCTATCTCACAGCAATTAAACAACAACAAAAAATTGATTTAGTGGCTAATTTGTATGAAACATACAAGCTCATTCCTACAATTTAGTATGATTTGCTTACCCCCCCTTGACAGTTGGGTTAAGGGGTGGGGTTTGGTAAAACACCTTCTTTTAAAATCGTACATTTTCCTATGGCTGAATTTGTAGGAATTAGCTACTAAACCGACAAGACATAAAATAGTTACGTTTTCTCGTGAGATCAGGCTGGAATATGAGTTTAAAGACTTTTGTTTAATTGTTTTACGGTTTTGCTTCTGGGTCAAAGAAGACATATTTAGTACAAGAATTTAAAGGTCTCCAAAATAGTAGTTTATTTTCATTTTAAATCTTAAAACTTTAGTATATTTTAGACCAATAGCTCTAAAAACATTTGTACTCAGTTATAATTTTAAAGCATTTAGTCTGTTTACTTAGTTCATTTATTATAAGTACATCTGAGAGTACGCACAGTATGTAGATTTAATTTTCTGCATAAATATATCTGTTTTGATGGAGTAATAATGGAGCATTATGTCTATCCTATTATTTATTGTTTCATATATAAATAATATAATATACCTATATAGCCTATATTTTCTTGTATATCATGTTTTTGGCATTTTATTTTCACAAATAGTGTTTCAAATATTACAATAGTCAACAAAATGCAACCCAGGCTCATTCTGAAAACATAACGCTATATACATTTTTGGAGAGCGCCAAAATAGATTAAAATATATTAAAATGGCTCGTTTGAGTTCTGCCAAAGGCATTCAGAATATGTGTGCTACCCAAATAATAAGTCTTTGAGTATGGGTTTCTCAAGCCAGGTGTCGCATTAGACCAGGGGCTTATCTCCTGTTTCCAAAATGCATCACAAACTGCTTGAGAAACTGTTCCACTCTGATAATTGGCAATGAAAATAAATTATGTTCAATAAAATGTACTTGTATTTACTAACTGTTTGGTTTTTTTTTTTTTGTGGAAAGTGGAAGTTTTTTTTTTCTTTCTATTTGGCCTGCATTATCAAATTCCATAACACTTTTACCAGCCCTTACTCCTTATTTGCGTCTAATACCCCAGTTTGTCATGAGGGCATGAATGAAATGTTCATGAGTTAAAGTGAAACTGCTGAACTGCAGTTAAAGTCAGGCATCCTGCTGATTCAGAAGGGCACTTTTTTTGTCAGATGGCTCACCGGTCAGGTATGCATCCGTGCTAAATTATCAAGGTGAAAGTCATCATAGTTTGCATAGAAACCCAGCTCTCAACCCAACCTTGAGAATAGATTAACAGCAATATTTTTTTTATCGCGTGATAAGAGTCTTGCATTAACCTAGTTTTGTTGCAGTTTTTGTTTCGTGACTCCACCAGAGGCGGCTCTGTATGCTTTTTGAGATCAAATTTCTCATGCGAGTGCCATTTGCGCCTGCTGTTCTCACGTAAATCAACCAGAGGCCACTGTCGACTGACTGACTGACTAACCGATTGACTCACCCACCCTCTTCCTTCACTAAACCCAACCAATTGTGTTTTCAAAAGGACCGATTGACCTGCACAACTACTTCCATAAGTCCAACCATCAGTTTAAAAAAAGCAATGCAAAAAAAGAAAAGCCCTCGCCTGATTTTTACTACGTTTTCATCGTTATTTACTTGTTTATTTTATTTTTTGGATTCTGTTTTTGTCTTTCTTTCTGGAACCGTTCTTCAGACTCGAACCATTTGCCATGGTCAACTCTTTTCTGCGTCTCAAGTCCGCCAACATTCATGGCAAACTAACTGGAACAAACTGGTAACAGCTGTCAGCTGGTAAGCATCGAAAAAAAAACATGGCGTCATATCACCTTGTAGCGTTCGTTTTAGAGATCGAATGCAACCTACTTGTGGCTACATAATTCGCGATCTCCGGAAATGTATAAAGGGCTACGTTTTCAGAATGAGCCTATGTGTTGACAAAATAGGACTCATCTTTGACCCTTCTGTGTGCATTTATCCTCTGTTGCTCATTAATCTTTTATGAATGTGTTTCAGAAGCAGGACAGAATATCAGAGAGATCCACTGTATTTGAATCAGAGAAAAGGGTATATATATATCATTACATAATGATTACTGACAATTTTAAAATTTCAGTGTTTCTCTTTAGTGTTGACTTCTGTATTGAACCAATATTTCCTTCTTCATGTTTTCTTTAAATTGCTCATGTTTCTTGACTTATTTTATTTTCAGTAACACTTTAGTTTAAGTCTCAATTCATGCTGGCTTATTACCTGCTTATTTTTAAGATATTAACTGCTCGTTAGAAGTTATAAAGTATGATCTTATTCTGCATCCTGAATCCTGCCATACTAACTATTCATAAACAGCTAATTAGTAGTTTATTAAGCTACTGTAGCAGTGTTAGTTAATGGTTTGTTTATTTTGTGACCTAAACTAAAGTATTAGGGTATTTTCTTTTTTTATTTTTTATTAAGTGTCATTTTAACAGCTGTCATTACGTTTGGATTATTATAGTATTAGTAAAAAAAAAAAAAAAAAAAAAAAAACATGCATTTATCATAGAAGATATGGTAAAATACCAACAACTATACTGTAAAAAAAAAATCTGTTAAAAATGGTCAAAAGTCTGGCAGCAGGGCTTCCAGAGGTTTTCTGTTAAATTAGAAAAAATAACCATTTCACAAAATTACATTAAAAAGCTGTAAAAATACAGAACATACTTTACAGTAAAAAAACATGAAATTACAGCTTATTACTGTTGATAATTTGCATTTAAACCATAAAAAAAATAGGGAAAAATGGTAATTACTGCCATTTTACTAATTATTACTGCAATTATACAGATTTTTGCTGTCATTATATATATATATATATTTCAAAAAGCATAATCATATGAATGTTTTGTATGCTTGTGTAGGAAAAAGAAGCATTGGAGAAGAGGGTTTCAGATATGGAGGAAGAATTAAAGGTACATTTCTATCAATTCTATCAAATGTTATATTTTTAACTCTGAGCTTGGGTTGGGGTGACTTCTGAGAGCATGCTCCAAAAGCTAACCTAAGAACTTGCTATGACAGTTGGTTTAATGTATCGTAATTAACAAAAAGTTTAGATCTCTTGTAGTAAGTTTGATGATTAGTGTATCTAGCATTCTTGTTTAAGTGATGTTAACCACAGTGCTCACTGCTGGCCATTACGCTCGGCATCAGTAACATCAGCTCTGTATGGTCTCACAGCTGTTGAAGTACATACTGACCTAGTTTGTGCTACACCGGGGCCGGATTGAATCCAGCAGAGACACGGCACGGCTTTTGTTCAGAATTCCAGCAGTAATTGCACATAGCTGGCATTTTGAGGGGCCAAGAAGAAGACAGTGCCAAATATATTGAAGGCCAAATCAATGTGAGGCGGTGTAGTCCAGCAAGCACAGTCAGATAATTGATCTGGTTTGGAGGTATTAAGATCTCTGCGCTGTTTGGACTCAGGTTATTTCAGTGTTGATTTGATTCGACCAAGATATGTGGAAGCCATTAGGTAAGTTTTTGTATTTTTATGTGCATTTATATAAATAATAAAAAATATTTGTTTTAAAATTAGTTTTAAATCTTGAACGATATTAATGATATGACGTAGTTTTGGAAACTTACTACTTTTCAGTTTATCGAATATCACAATGGCGAACGCGTCAAGTATAAAAGCCTCGTCCATTTTATGAGGTGTGCAATGTGGAGCCAGGCGAAAGTATAAATCAACCTTAATATGTTTTTTTTTTGTAGTTCCATAATGCATCTAATCTGTCTTTAGTACTGTTCAATTTAAATCATTTTATTTTACCACAAATTTTGTGATTTTGCTTTTTCTCTGCCGTGTTTTTGATATTGTGATATAGGTCTTAAATTTTATCCTTAATGGTCTTAAAAAATCTTAAATTGGACATTATGACATCTGCAGAAACCCTGTAAATGCTATAACATAGAAAACGCAATCATGAAAGGAACGTTCAAAAAGCAACTCATGTAAATGCCTTAATATTTTTATTGTCTTAATTAGATTAAGGCAAATGGTTTGATTCCTGATGTCCATGTTAACGTAGTCACTGTTAGTCATACTGAAATGTCCATGACTAAATCTGTCAAAAAAATAAATAAATAAATTATATTAACTTTAGTTAAATGATCAACAGAAACGACTCATCAATTTTAAAACATCAAGCGTCATAAAACGAGTTCGTATAACAGTGTTTATTATTTATTATGTTAAAAAGAGAACCTTTTTTTCTTTTGCAGCAACTTCCAGTCTAATAAATGATCCTTTCTACAGCATAAGTTTAGTTCTCATCTTTGGATGGAAACATACACTTTAAAAATGCTAGGTTATTTCAACCTAATTTTGGGTGTAATATGGACCCATAATTTAGGATATTAGGATATTTTTTTATGAAATGAATACTGTAGGATCAAATTGAACCCATTGTTTGGGTTAGTCCATATTTGACCCAATATGTGTTTAAATAACCCAGCATTTCTTAGTGTATATGGTGACAACTTTATTTTCTTAAAATCAAATGGTATGGACATTGTGTTTGTTCACAAATGATCAATTATCATTATACACAAAATATCATTTATTCTTTCCTATTTTTTTGCATAAGTCAGGTTTTCAGCTATGGATGGGAACCTAGAGAGTGTCGTTTATATTGCTAGCATGCAAATAGCTTACTTTCAGGTTACAGCAGAGGGCATAAAATATTCTTATGCTGATTAATTCATTTTGTTGTGCTTTTTTTAATTATGATAAAAGAGAAGCACTTGTGTTTGTTTGATCAGTGATGTCACTGTTGCCCCAGCAGACGCCCTCAGTGAGGTTTCGCTACCAGTTCTGAGTTCATCCTCAGCTGGACTGGGTGAAAGAGGGGCAGATGGTGAGTGGTTTTGCCCCACGTGTGGTTGCCTGTTTACACACACCAACACTCACCCGTTGCTCACAGTAGTACAGCACGTGTGGGCCATGTAAATCACTTATAAGTCTCTCTTAGTTTTCTTTTTTTTTTTCTTACTCAATCACATAAACCACTCAGTAATTGGTTGTCAACCACCATGACACTATATACCAGACAAAACAATTAATTGTCACATCCTATAGTTTGTTGTTATTTTGAATCACCATGACATCCATAAAAAAAAAATAAGTATGTTAATTTAGGTACAAATCAAGGCCCTAGTGACCAAAGAAACCAAATTTCACCACAATGGTGACTTCAAAAGAATAGTGCAGGAGTTTAGTTCCAACCCTTTCTCAAGACACTTTACCTGTAGGTTTCAAACAAGCCTGAAAGACTCAATAAGTATGATCAGGGAGCTGTTCCATAAACCAAGCTTAAAGAAAAAGCTAGGTTTATTTTGGTAAGTCAGGTTTTTTAACGGCGGATTCGATATCATAAATCAGATTTACGATAGTTAAAACTCAGTTATTCTGGCAACTTATGCTGGGTAACTAGCCTGGTCAAAAGCAGGTTAACTCTCAGGCTAAGTCTTAAGTTCAAGCTTAATCATCAAGGTAATAATAACATTTACCTGCTGTAATTTGATGCCATTTTAATTCACTTAATCTCTTAATAATGATTAATATATATATATATATAGTTGAAGTCAGATTTATTGGCCCCCCTGAAATATTAGCCCCATTGTTCAAACTGAACTCTGATAAGTTCGATAAAATGACCTTTTACTTGATGTTATGGAACCAGTTTAAGCGTAGACGTTTAGTTCGGCTCATTAAAGTCAGGTTTTTGACTTTAATCCCAGCTTTTTTAAACCACTTTTATGAAACAAAAATTATAAAAAATCTAAGGTATGAGGTATAATTTTTGGTTTCAAAATCTGAGGTAACGTTCAGGGTAAATTCCTATAGCATCTGAAGCTTATGTTACAGGGTTTGTCCAGTTCTGAGGTATATAGACCAATTCAAAGTGGCCATGTCATTGGCCCATGAACATTTCCTGCTTGTCATCAAACTATTTCATAACTGTAGCAAGAGACAATTTATTCATAACTTCATAACTTTATAACTTAAAACAGTTATCATATCAATAATCATCAATATGTGGCTCTTTTTGGATTCTCGGACGCTATAAAAATTAAAAATGTAAAACAGGAAATGAGCTATATACTGTAGACCAATTCAAAGTAGGTTTCCTAGATTTCTACATTTCCTGCTTGTTATCAAACTATTTCATAACTGTAGCAAGAGGCAATTTAATGATAACTTTATAACTTAATAACTTAAAACAGCTATCATAATAATATGTGACTAGGGCGAGGCAGTGGCGCAGTGGGTAGTGCTGTCGCCTCACAGCAAGAAGGTTGCTGGGTTGCTGGTTCTAACCTCGGCTCAGTTGGCGTTTCTGTGTGGAGTTTGCATGTTCTCCATGCCTTTGCGTAGGTTCCCTCCAGGTGCTCTGGTTTCCCCCACAGTCCAAAGACATGCTGTACAGGTGAATTCGGTAGGCTAAATTGTCCTTAGTGTATGAGTGTGTGTGTGAATGTGTGTGTGGATGTTTCCTAGAGATGGGTTGCAGGACATAGCTTGTCATAAAATGATGCATACAGTAATATGAGGGGTCCTGACCAACCAACAATATGTGATGAGGAGAGTAAGAATGTGTTGGGAATACACCTCAGGTCTTGAATGGTCTTGGTTCTGGTTTGGGTATTGGTGAGGTCTTGGTCAAAAGGAAGCGCTCAGAGGAAAAGGCTGATGATCCTATTTGTCCTTGAGCAACATCTAAAAACATGACAAACTGAGTTGTGGTTTGCACCAAAGTAGCAGTCATACTGGGTATTTTAGCTGCAAGATATAACATGCAAACCTGCGTATGCAATTTTAGAGGGGTAACCACACAGAAATCAGACTACAGATGCTTTTTGTAGAACGAAACACGAACAGATGCTGGATGCCTCGCAGTCATCTGCTGCATTGCATTGGACAAACTCAACGGCCTGATCCAAATGCCGTAAGCTGTAAAGCCACATTTGGAAACCGAGTCAAACCTCAGGGTTTCTCCACATGCTGGTTCGGGATGTTTCTGAGGTCAACCACAGATGCCTCACGCCGCTCATTAATCTCTTCACTGCGTTCCGTGAGGCTTTTATATAACAAAACAGCGGTGATTACTAGTGCTTAAACCCAGAACTCGCTTCAGTAAAATGCTCGATTTGATTTCACACTAGTCATGAAGATGTTTGTAGGCCTGTTCCCTTTTGTGAAGGGCTGCAGATGCATGTGCTGTGTGTCAGTTTCTCCAACGTTGATTTGTGTTCTCACCTGATTGACTTTGCATGCTTATATTTCTGTCCCTCCTTCAAAAGTCAACATGAAATGCAAATTTTTCTGTCGTATTGTGAAAAATGAGCAAGGATTTATTTTCTAATACATTCATCTTGCTGTTAGCTTTATATTTAAATGTCTTTGGAATGAGAAAAAAGATATAGGATATAATATAAAAAATAATATATAGGATATATATTGTGTTAACCACTGGGAAATAAGCTGACATGTCTGGGGGGATGGGAGGATGTCATTGCACACTGAGGACTGGACACTGGAGGGATATACATAAACAGGTATTATTTACAAAGTCAATAAGGGAAGTTAGGATTGAGTTCAGAGAGAGTTCGTTGGTAGAATGGAAGTTTGTTGCAGACACACGACACAACTTATCTGTTGGAGACAATGAACTCTGAATGCACTGGAACACAAAGATCAAGGAAACTGGAGGGAATCGAGGAGACGCTGGTGCAGGAGAAACTCTCGTTATGGATCAGGGGATTCTCATGGATGTCATGATCAGGACTGACTGAGGTAGAGTGAGTGGAGGTGCATTATGTAGTGGTGCTAATCAATAGTCAGGAGAGTGAGAGAGTGCAAGTGGGTTCAAGTGAGTCCGATGGATCCAGTGAATGCCTGGCA